GAGCCTTGGTCGCGAAAATTTTGAGGGCAGGATATTTTTGGCCAACGATGAGGGAAAATGCGAAGATGATGGTGAAGAAGTGCTTGCAATGCCAAAAGCACGGCCCCCTTATCCACCAACCGGCCGAAGCCATGACAACGATGAGTGCTCCTATACCATTCGCCCAGTGGGGTATCGACCTGATGGGGCCGATGCCTCTGGGCACCGGGCAAAGGAAGTTCCTAATAGTGGCGGTCGATTACTTCACGAAGTGGGTGGAGGCCGAGCCCTTAGCAAGGATTACAGAAGAGAAAGTAATTAAATTCATATACAACAACATTTGCTGTCGTTTTGGTGTACCCAAAGTGTTGATTTCCGATAACGGCACTCAGTTTAATGGGAAGCGGATTCGAGCATGGTGTGAAAGTATGAAAATCGGGCAACACTTTGCCTCCGTGGCCCATCCGCAAGCTAACGGTCAGGTCGAGGTAACTAATCGAATTATACTGAATGGGCTGAAGACAAAGTTGGAGAAAGGCTCGGGAGCATGGGTCGACGAGCTGAGTTCTGTACTCTGGGCGTATCGCACAACTCCAAGGTCGACCACAGGAGAAACCCCGTTCAATTTAGCTTATGGGATGGAAGCGTTGCTACCGGTCGAGATCGAGTTATCTTCCCAAAGGTCGATCACGTATAACACTGAACAGAACGAGGATCTGATGATGGTGGCCTTAGATACTATCAAGGAGCTGCGTGGATGAGCGGCAATTAGGGTGGAAGCGTACAAACAGAGGATGCGAGCCGCCCACGACAAAAGAGTGAAGGTTCGCAAGCTCCAAGTGGGAGACTTGGTCTGGAAGCGTGTCGACGTGCTCAAACATGTGGGGAAGCTGGAGCTGAACTAGGAAGGACCATACTTGGTCGAGCGAGTGCACGCAGGAGGAGCGTACTCGCTGAAGGATGCTGAAGGCCGATCACTCGCCAGGTCATGGAACATAGCTAATTTGAAAAAATATTACGTGTGAAAATTTTTATTTCTTTTGAAAAGAGAGCGGAGAAATTACAATGGAAATGTAAATTGCAAAGTTTGCTCACGAGACAATGCAACTTAATGATTTTTCTGATTCTATTCGCTTTATTATACACCTTCTTATGCTTGGAATGTTGGTATGATTTGAATGACAGGATATGTATGGTGTGGTTTGACTTGAGAATCGCTTGTTTAGAACACTCCTTGGGGTGGGCAGGTTGGTCGAAAGATTTCTTGTTTAGAACATTCCCCGGGGTGGGCAAGTGTGAAGACCAAAACCCACCAGGAATAAGGCCATCGGGCTGGGTGGTCGCTTGTTTAGAACATTCCTTGGGGTGGGCAGGTTGGTCGAAAGATCTCCTGTTTAGAACATTCCTCGGGGTGGGCAAGTGTGAAGACCAAAACCCACCAGGAATAAGGCCTTCAGGCATGGTGGTCGCTTGTTTAGAACATTCTTTAGGGTGGGCAGGTTGGTCGAAAGATCTCCTGTTTAGAACATTCCTCGGGGTGGGCAAGTGTGAATACCAAAACCCACCAGGAATAAGGACTTCGGGCTGGGTGGTCGCTTGTTTAGAACATTCCTTGGGGTGGGCAGGTCGGTCGAAAGATCTCCTGTTTAGAACATTCCTCGGGGTGGGCAAGTGTGAAGACCAAAACCCACCAGGAATAAGGCCTTCGGGCTGGGTGGTCGCTTGTTTAGAACATTCCTTGGAGTGGGCAGGTTGGTCGAAAGATCTCATGTTTAGAACATTCCTCGGGGTGGGCAAGTGTGAAGACCAAAACCCACCAGGAATA